ACATATGGTCAACCTTCCTTAACAGAGCAAGCGCCGCCGGAGTAATGAAGCAGCCGCCGAGGCTGCGGCCAAGAATAAGGCACTCCAAGACCTCCCCATCCGCCGGTAGCTTCAGTAGATGGACATGGATATGTACCATTTATTACTCGTTATGAAGGGAAATCTCAATCGGGCTAGAGGAAACGTGGAGGAAATTTCAAGTTCACCTGTTACATTCAGCATGTGACGAACTAGTTATTCCCTATGCGTTGTTTTCCATAAAAATGGGGAAAGTCCTGCTAGGCTCCTGACCACTTTAATTGACTACCAACACGATTTACCAGATGAGATAAAGGATGGGTTTGCTCTTAAACCTGGCATTATACTCAAGGAGCTCAGGCTGAGCTGCTCAGCCTCTTCACTTCGTGGAGACTTAACGGAACCTTTCTGTCCTTGGCTTCGGGAGTCCCGAATCGGGACCGAGGACTCGGCGAGCCGCGAAACGAGTCCGGCTCGCTTCGCGGCACGTAGAGCCGCTTTCAGCCCATGTTCAGCAGAGCCATCAAGGGAGAAGCCAAGGAAAGCGTTTCGAGACCTCAGAGCTTTGATGTATGTCTTAATCGAAGAGTACTTATAATTATGCTCGCCGCCAGTCGTTTTGGTTATATTGCAGATGAATTTCTGCAAATGCTCAATTTTGAGCCGGAATGCCGGTTCCGGCGAGATAAACCACTCATAGATCGAGGTGACACTGCTATAAGTAGCACGAGTACTGACGGCGAGTGAACCCTCAAGAAAGGCAGCAAGGGCGTTGTCCGATGGTTTCGCATGTTGTTAGACTTTAGCACGTTTGCGCTTACGCGGAGATGTACGCAACAAACCTGAGAAAGGGGAAAGAGAGAAATATAACAGAATTGAGTCTATGTCAAGCCACCTAGCCACTCAAACGGTAGAGGAACTTCTGGCCAATCATCAGTGAACTTATCCACATGACCTCTAGAGAGACGATCAGCGAGATATTTCTTGATCCACTTATGTGGTGTACCGGCAGATATGGCAGTAGTGGTGGCAAAAAGTGGGCCGCCTGCTTCAAGAGCCACCCAAAAGGTGGTTTCCGGCTGAACATCCTTCGGATGGTTTCGGCTGCTGCCTCATTGTCTGATTGGACAATTATGGGGCAGTTCAGAAGTTTGGGGTGAGAGTGGTCTTGACTGTTCACCAACAGGTACAAAGGTGTCAGACATGCTAATAGTTCCAGCACACAGAAGTCTGCATGACTAGAGTTGGACTTAGCCTTGGTTAAGTTCTTCTTGAGTTTGATAGGTAGCTCCGCCACCTCGAAGCTCCAATAGCGCCAACTTCGACAACAGTAGACGAGTCCTGCTAACTAATGCAAGGAGGCATCGCAACCAACCAGTCTTACAGACTCTGGATAACTAGGTTCAGCTGGCATTTCGAAATAGAGACTTCCGGGGCTGGCGGCCCGGAAAAACTTCTCGATAAACCTGAGATCCTTTCGAAGTATGCAGGGGAGCCTAGCACATGCCAAGGCTTTGCATTCTAGCATAGCAATACATTGAAAACACGATCCAACATATGGCCTGAGCAATGGATAGCATTGTAAGGCCCAAACCAGTTTTCCCGTAAGCCTTGACAACCGCTTAGGTGTTATTCGTCCTAACTGCGTGAGAGTGAAGGAAGAGAGTGAAGAAACGCTTATAGGTCAGATCCTGAGCAGGGGAACCCTCAAAACCGGCATAACTTGCGTCCAATATGCTATGCAGTACTCCCTGCGGAGTTCACCAGGAAGTGTGGAAGGCCAATCGAACCTATTGGATCCATACCCCTCGCTTGGGAATCGCTCCTTAAAGTGAGCAATTTTCTATTCTGCCTATTTTTCCTATTTTCCCCTAATTTTCAGCAAGAAAAATAGGCCGAAGGAAACAATGTCTATTTTTACTTCCACCCGCCACTCTACAGTCAATGTCAACAGGATCTGTGGTGTCGAAGAGCTCAACGGGTGATCAGTAGCCCGTAGCTTCCTCGTTTCCTCAGGCGGAACTTGTTCAACGTTCACACTCTCCGCGTTGCTCGGAGAGATCTTCAACGTGGTCAAGCAATTCACCTTGAAGGACGACTTCTCTAAGAAAAACAGCCATCAGCCGTCGGCAGACCAGCTCTTACGAGGCTTCCGTTGGGATTCTTGGGTGCAAAGAGAAGGATTGAATATCATATACTTCGACGATCACGCGGGTCGAGACCGGTACGTAGTCCCTTCTGCCGGCCTTATCCGCCTCGTTGGTAAAGGCAGTGGTCTTCAAGCCGCAATGATGGACCTCACGCGGAGCTTTGGTTCTGGTTCCTGGCCAACCTTTGATACTTACGTGCAAGCAAGCAAGTATATTCGGATAGTCATTATAAAAGGAAAAGTTCTCAAATGCAGCAATAGGAAGAGAGAATATTCCGGTCTTACTAAATAGAGCAATGCAACTTCCAACTGATGCATTTTTGCGGACTTGAGCGACTCTACGATACTGTTCGATATCACCGAGGATGACGCAGCTTTGAGTGGATTGAAGTCGGGTAATCAATACTATCGTGACTTCCTCTTCAATTGGGTTAAATCAATTTGCATGGGCTCCTCGCATGCCGCGGAATTCAGCTGTCTGTAACTAACGCTTGAAAATTACAACCCTAGCTAACAGGTTGGATTTAATTCCAACCTGGAACTACAAGCAGGAGAAGAGCATGATAGGCTAAGCATGTCTGACTTTTTTAGGTCCACTTCGTGAAGAGTATCGAAGAATGGATTTATGGGTAATCAAGCACGGGGAGCTCAATGGTGAAAGAATTAGGTCGAAATTCGTCAAAATTAAAGAAAAAAGTGCCCGCTCAGTTCGCGCGTTTCTAGATGGCGCGTACTGCACCCAATGGCTACGGATATCGAATTGCTTCTATCGATTCAATTGGTTAGATTGATACCACCGTAAATTTCAGCAATTATTTCCTCGTTGTAGATGCACCGGCTCTCTCAAGGGTTGTCTCAAACCTGTCTTTGACAACCGGTGCCGTGAACCTGGACAGAGAGCGTTCGGTCGAACGAAGTAGTGTGAGCGGTAGGGTAACCATAGTTGAGTGCTTATCTGAGTTGGCCGACAGATCTATGTCCGAATTGTCACCAGAAATCGGTGAGTTCCTGGGCCAGGAACCGTCGGTCGTTGAACGTTCTTCGGAAGCCATCCCGGCAAATTTCTTGAGGCGAGGCAGCCGCCAATAATGCGAATCAGTGCAGTTTATTCGTTGGGCAACACGTTCAACATGACCCTAGATGTATCTCCGATCGAGCCGGTGGCAAGGCCTTCTTCATACAAGTCTATCACACACTAGCCGGATGAATGGGTATGTGGCGCTGATATCCCACCGCCGATTCGAGTGAGCTTCCAAAAGAGCCACGTCTTCCCAGTAAAGACTTTCTACCGGTACACACGGTCTTACAGAATGTCTCACGAAAGGTTTCCTAGACCGTCGCAACTTTTCCAGCCGGCTGAGCCCCATAGGACCACCAGAACATGTACGCGGTCATTACGTTATTACCCAAACGCAAAGTTCGCGTTTGCTCATAACTTTTTTCAGAATATTTGCAATTGCTCACCGACTCCGAAACCTGAAGCTGCGCCTAATGTCCTACCCGAAAATCAAGGTGGAAGGCGTACCACACGTTATAATCTCCGCCGGAGAGAACGGGTCGATTATAAATCAATGCACCTGCGGGTCTTGAAGTAATGTATTTCGACAACAAACTATAATGCATGGATCAACGACGTGTTATATACGTAGTGATGAGTTTAATAACAGTTTTTTTTTCTTCGACGATTCGCTCATTTGACTTGCCGTATCTCGCTATGGATGCTCCAAGTTCCCTCTACCCTCCTCCATGTCAGGATCGTCCTGCAGCAGCAGTGAATCGTAACGCACTAATCAATAGAAATTCAAGGAGTACGCAAACTAGGTGCACATGAGGATGTCGGATGATTCCCCTAGAGTCCCGCAGCCACTTTCTCTGTGAGGGGCTAATAGGGGACAGATAGGCGAAGAGACGAACAGGAAAAAGAAGTGGCGCGCAGGAGGAAAAAGTGGCGCGCAGGAGAAAAAAGTGGCGCGCAGGAAAGAAACGTGGCGCGCAGGAGAAAAAAGCGGCCAGAGTGGGAAAATGGTGGCGGATATTGTGCTTGGCAAGCACAAGGAGAGCTTGCGTACCCTTGTACGCTTGCGTACAAGAGTGTGAGCACAGGATACATTCGTACTATTGATCCTAAGCATTGAGCGTTACTAGCTCTTGACTCAAGAGTCTTGAGTCCATAGCTATTTGACTCAAAGTCTCAGGGCACGTTTGGGTCGCATCTCTCCAGCTAATGTCGGGTCGTGTTGACACAAGGAACGACATGAGGCACCGGACATCAACAACGTGCTATAATGCGTGAAGCATGTGATCTACACACTCCTTACAGGTTCGTGATTGACGTTGGTCGTATGTGAATGAAGGTCGATTCAATTTGAAATTGTCGCGTGAAATTCACGCGACACGCCACAAGTCTAAAAAAGTCGCACGTGTCTAACTTATTCCATCGAGTAGGCCCCTGAAAATTTCGGGCTGAAATAACCTTAGTATTTGTCGTAGAGACTATTGGTATCTTTCAACCTAAGGTCTGATGCCGAAGGATTAGAATCTGAATGCTTGGGGGCACTTTATCATACGGTAAGTACTCTGGGATCACTTCTGGACGTACTTACACCTGAGTTAGGTGTTTGGTGATGAAGGGAAAATGGTGCCACCACGTGAGGCGTGAGGCGTGAATCGCTCCAGTCACGCCCCGGGACGGTTAGCTAACTGTGGAGGCGTGACGCCTCCGAAGTTGAGTAACCTCATCCGGTTGCAATTTGATTACTATTATCGGCGTTTTGGTGACTGTCCAAGGAATATAACTTTTTCCCGCATCATGACCCGTCACTACACTCTCATTATGCTGTTCTCCGCTATCTTATCAATCGGCTACTCACTGTCTCAGGACAAGAATGTATCTGTCGACAACGATATACCTGCAAACCACTGGGCTGTGAGTGCAGTGATTGAGGGAATCATCATATCATTTGAGAGACAAGTAACGGGAACAGTATATATTGTGTGACTGCTTAGGTCCTCATCGCCGGTTCCAACACTTATTGGAACTATCGACATCAAGCTGACGTGTGTCATGCGTATCAGATTCTCAGAAGAAATGGTGTACCCAAGGAGCACATCATCACGTTATCGTAAAAGAGACCTCTCTAGCACACTGCTGCCAGCCGAAGTCTCTCCTGTCAACTCCAGGTATAACGATATTGTCAATCACACTAAGAACCCCTTCAAGGGACAGCTATTCAACAAACCAACGGGTGGGCTCGTTCGTCACCCAAGGAGCCCATGAGCCTTCACTTTAAGGTGACCGCCCTGGCGTTGATGTCTACAAAGGTTGCGAGATAGACTATAGTGGCGAGGAGGTCACGGTCAAAAACGTACAAGGAGTGAGTCTCGTTGAATGCGAGTCCATCTCTTATCCAAGATGAGCTATCCTACATAAGATATGTCTCCTTCAGCCTCGAAATTGCTATTGCAGGTTCTAACCGGCGATAAGTCGCTAGCATCGAAGAAAGTTCTGGAAAGCACCGAGAACGATTACGTCTTCATCAATTTTGTGGATCACGGCGCTAGTGAGATAATTCTCGAAGCATCATGTGCATCGAAATCATCTGACTGATTCTTCCTCAGCGAATTTGATCGGCCTCCCATTTGAGAGTATAAATAAAACACAGCTTCGATCATGGTTGACGACCATGGAGAAGAAGAAGATGTGGCTTGCAATTCCACTGTCATTCGAGCGACACACAAATTATCATTCAGGTATAAACAGTTGGTGTTCTATGTCGAGACATGTGAATCTGGCAGTTTGTTCGAGGGGAATCCTCCTATTCCAGGCCAGTAAGGATACCTTACAAGGGCATGTCGTTCGTCGGCCAATCCGGGAGGGCATGATTTTCTCATATGTGGCAGATATTACGTCACAGCTTCCAATCCACACGAGTCAAGCTTTGCAACGTACTGTCCCCCAGTAGGAATGATTCTGAATCAGAACTTCTGATCGTCATCCTCCATCATTTCGGTGAAATAAATGGTCGTTCTTTCTTCAGCATGATAAGGTTGCTAACGTCTCACTTAACGCCTGTCTCGGAGACCTTTTCTCTGTTAACTGGATGGAGAATGAAGACGCCTTTTCGCATACTGGCCGCGATGAGACTCTGGAGCAGCAATATCACCTAGTCAAAAAGGAAACCAATTCCAGGTTGGAGTCCAACCGTTAGACAACGATGAATATCGGTCCGCGGTAATTTTCTCAGTCAAGTTTGCTTTGCTCTCAGTCATGTTAAGAAGTATGGAGATGGAACATTCACCAACGAGTCTACCCAAAATTTCATGGGTAGCAGAAACGGAAAGATCAAGTTGGTCGGTTCCGATTATGCCCCTGGGTGAGTAATTGAGTATCCTGACATCTATTTCGATGATCTTCTGTGGTGTCTCGTCCTACCTTGCGGCATTGATAAGACCAATGAGGTTCATTGAATGAACAATGTATCACAAGGAGCGATTGGCTAAACGTTTGGGTTCATTCTAGGTCCGAAGCGACCGTTGAGCATGTCTTCCGGGAGTTTTTTGGACGTCCGAAGCCGCAGGGCATGACGGTTGAAGAGGTAAGAACTCATTTTCCCATTTGGATATGCTGAGGGAGGAGATTGTCACGAGATCATTGGTTGGTCCTAGGAAGTCGCAAGGGAGAAGGAAAGGCTCCGCGCTATCAAGCAAGTTAGTAGCGTACCATCAAGGATGATTGCCATCCACATAAAGTAGATTCCATTCAGTCCTGGCTCACTGATCGGCTCGCATGCAGATACAGCGAGCTGAGGGAAGAAGAAGGGAAGCCGAGCAACTACAGAAGGCAGTTAGAAGTCGCTAAGGAACTCCTTCAGACCGTCGAGGAAAGGGTGAGTAGTCTATTCAGAGTAGAACAGTCGGGGTCCATCCATTGTGCTGACGACCGCTCGAAGGGACGATAGACGTTCTTCAGATTCGTGAGGTTGAGCAAATGATGGATCGCAATCAGCAACGTGATTTAGCTCAAAGTTGAAAGTGAGTTCGGCCCTTGCTCTGGAGGATGTGGAGACGCATCGCTTCTATTGGCAGGAGTTCATCCTCGGTTCATGCTCATCAATGTAGTCAGTATTGGTGGATAGAGTTTTTTATACCAAACCTATTTCGATGGTATCAGTAGTTATTTCAGCTGTCGTGTATCTATGTAATTGCTGCGGAATGTCAATCTAAAGCTCGCACAGCTGGGCCATCCCGAACTCTTCTCGAATTTATCACGAATAACAAGAGTTTGCTATTAGCAGTACCAGTTGGTCACTTTGTTGTGTTTCGCACTCAAAAACTGCTGGGTGGATTATGGACAGATTGGAACGCACATCGCGACTCATTAGTTCAACGAGGAGCCGAGACTGTGACTCAACTATCAATCTCGAGTAGTTCCGAGACCAGATCGGTACTGCCTTGACACTGTCAAGTTGATAGGTGTTAGCCTGACACTGTTAGGTCAAGCAATCCCCTGAGATATCCAGATACAGTGTATCTGAGTATCTGATACACAGCACTTATATCAAACTTAGCCATCTTACGATTCCACACCTAAGCACAAGCGCTCGAATATCAAAATACACGATAATTATCTTAGACAGTCTGAGTCAGACTCAGGAATCACATGATCCCTCGACTCAATAAGAGTGCTCACATGTTGAGTCCGACATGATACGGCTGGTTGCACCGCTATCGAGAACTGAGTGCTTGAAATACAGGATGTCATGACGTGTGATGAATGAGTGTCGCTCACTCTAGTTCTCTTCCTTTTTTTATTCTCAGAGGCGTTATGCCAAGCTCGTCTGCACGAAGGTTCCGCAAGTGCTCCTCCAGAGTCGGGAGTCCAGACGCACGTCGCGTTTGCCTCAACTGTATCCTACCCACAGATACGACATACACACATGCAATCGCCCTTCCAGACGTTGATACCATTTTGAGTTCGTCGACGCATTGACAACCACACTGCATGGAAAACGCGTTGCGCGAATAGCCACGATCCGATAACTCACTCCCAACGACGAAACGAGACTCAACCATTATGGTTAAACCATATGGTTGAACTGTTCAGGCTCCAACTTACGGTAAGTTACTAACCCAACTAGGAGACGTTATCATGAATGTGACGAGTGGAGCAACACCATTAACTATTAACAGCTTGTTCTTGGTCACTATTAACCACGAAATAGCACCCATACCTAAGGTAAATAACGTCTCTACCGCGTAATACGATCCGCATCGGGCTAGAGATTCACACTGTTATTCCCTTCGGAGTTCTGGTTGCATTGTTATACGGGATTCTTGGGAATAAGACCGTCGGGTTTCGGGCTTCCCCGTAATGACAGTTTTTTCGAGAACTCGTATAAGAGCTCGCACTTGAGTAAGACCTCGCACTTGTATATGAGTTTTGCGGGTTTTGGGTTTTGTCACAAAACTTTTGTGTGTGGTAATTTACTTGAAAAAGGTAGCTTTCGTGAGTTCTGCACGAGTAAACACGATATCCAGGTCCTGTTTCCTTTATCCACATCTATGTTGTGACACAAGTGAAGCGTCGAGGGGCGAGATTGAGAAAAGGAGCTGACTTCATCGGTAGAACGCCGGGAAGGGAAGACGCCACGACTCGTGGCGTCTTCCTCGTGGCCCACGAGAAACAATTTTCTCTTCGATCCCAACTGGACATCCCTCACTAAACCACGGCCCGTGGTCCACGGGCATCAATGTCCCAATCCTCAGCATAGTCGACCAACAAGAAAAGTAACCGGCCTCTCACAGGGGAGTTCTTATGCGTGGGGAGAAGGCCATGGGGACAACCACCAGTTATCTTGAGTATAGCCGATTTACCTTCTTCGATTGCAGCCTGTACAACTGTGAATGACAAAGGATTTTCTGATTATAGCAGCAAATCAATGAGACCAGCATGACTCAATAGAACACGTTCAAACTCCTCCCGGAGAGCTTTGAATCTTACAATAGCATGAGGTAGAAAGAAGGAAGAATTATGAGGAGTTTTACGTCCTCTCAAGTTATAGTCTTGCGAGGCAGACGACGGACACTATCCGTCGGACAGCGGAGGCCGGGAACCTTTAGCATTACGAACGGGATCTATCATAGAACAAGGCTCTTGCTCTCTGGACTGCTCTACTGAGTAGAGCAGTCCAGAGTCAGGAGTCTCGAACCTTCATGAGGCCGATGCTCCACGAGCTGATTCCTTACCAACTAGAGGAGCAGAGGTATTGGATGTTCGGGAATCCGAGGTTTGAGAGGTCGTTTTGTTTCCTGACGTTTCTCTTACAATCCCGATTTCCCCTAGGCATCGCATGTGTCATATGGCAATGCAAGCAAATATGCCTACGACCCATAGGACACGGATTCTCAGTGAGAATTTCTCACCGGTCACACCGCTACACCGGCCACTCTGATAGGAGAAACATGTCTCGTTAGAACGTCGAGACGCTTCGCCCGACTTGCTTCGTCTTTGGAAACAACCTTATTCTGAGCTTGATTAGCTCCAGCAGATCTCAGACGGTGAATAGCTCCATCAACATGCTCAACCCGGAAAAGCCGAGTACTTAGCACAATCAACAAAGGCTGAACCACACGTTTCAGTAGTAGCAGATTTATACTTCGATAACTTGGTCGAACGCATCAACTCGTCCGCAGCCATGATCGTAGGGGTCCAGAACTCAGGGTATACCTTTTGCAGCTTTGAAATCGTACGGGCGTAGCTTGGCAAGTCGGCAAAGATGGAAGCACCCAACATAGTCATAGCCATGGTGTAAGCACGAATGTTTTCACCCCATTCTCCGGGAGAGATAGCGCGAGCGATCAATACCTTCTTCGCCGAACCGTCTTCGTCCAAGTTCCAAGCAGATAGGCGAGCCTTCTTTAGACGCTCATGCTGATCAACCGTGAAGATAGATAAATCTGCGAAAGGTACTGCACCACTATCCAGCTTCTCTTTCAAGCTTGATAACTGTTCACGAGTGGGCGTATCCTCCACCTCACCGAACTTGAGATACAATTCTAACTTCCGCTGCTCAAATTCAGCAGTTGACATGAGGATAAAGGTACCGTCTTCGACCGGGTCCAGGAAATGACTCAGACGTATACGCTTGGACGACTGATCAGACGTATCACCAACCGCTGCACGTTCACCAGTGGCACCTTCACCTGTAGTCACTAGAACAGGTGACAAGCCACATGCCGTTCTCGCCAAGTCAAAGAGCTAAGCTACCGGGACCGATCAAGACAGTTATTTAGCCTGGAAAAGACTTCCGCCACTTCTGCAGGGTGGCAGAAACCAAAGTCAGCTATGGTCACCAACGGGTCGTCTGCCCTCGACAGAAAGTCCGACACTATCTGCCAGAGCTCATTGTTCACTCGGGCCTGCTGTCGAAGCTCAGTGATCTCGATTCAGGCAGCTGCAATACGGTCAGCTAAGGACGGCATTGAAAGAACGAAAACACTGCTACACGGATAAATCCTATCTGGATCAGACACGTTCACATATCAAGTACAACAAACTCCCTTGCATCACTAGCTCAGCTAGCTAGCTTGTGTCCAGGGCACAAGCACTCACGAGATACGCACCACCGGCGACAGGTCAGCCGGAAGAGATAAGAATTACCACCATGTAGAAACGATAGAAAACGCAATGCAGACAGTCAGAATGGGGAAGGGCATTGTTCTACCCAGCACTTTGTGTTTTCCAAAACGATGCTTGAGACGTTTCAGGGCGAATATCTGGCGTGCGCGAAAGAATAATGGGCCGAACGCTGTGAGGGTGGGACGGTTGATGAGACGTCAGTAGTGATAGCTATGTTGGACGCATGATGGTTCCTGTGCTGTAGAGAAGAAGCAGAGGATGATCTAGGCCTTAATCGAGGAATCCTAGATGCTCTTAGCGATACTATAGGCTCACCAGACTCTTGATAGACACTGCGTGTAATAACCATCCCAGACTCAGCGCGACAAGACTAACTTAGATTCAATTAGTTACAGATATACTCAGAGCGCTGACTAGCGTTACAGCAATAATAGCCGTGATAGGACTCTAATACTCAGTCAATACTTCAAAGTCGCTCCAACGAGCGGTTACAGAAATCCAATCGTTTCAGATACTTATTACTCCACAGATATTCGGGCGTTGTGAGGGTGGGACGGTTGATGAGACGTCAGTAGTGATAGCTACGTTGGACGCATGATGGTTCCTGTGCTGTAGAGAAGAAGCAGAGGATGATCTAGGCCTTAATCGAGGAATCCTAGATGCTCTTAGCGATACTATAGGCTCACCAGACTCTTAATAGACACTGCGTGTAATAACCATCCCAGACTCAGCGCGACAAGACTAACTTAGATTCAATTAGTTACAGATATACTCAGAGCGCTGACTAGCGTTACAGCAATAATAGCCGTAATAAGACTCTAGTACTCCGGCAATACTTCAAAGTCGCTCCAACGAGCGGTTACAGATATCCAATCGTTTCAGATACTTATTACTCCACAGATATTCGGGCGTGCGCGATACGACTTGCGCCGATCTTTCCCGATCGTGTCGTCACAATGCACGCCACAAGCGTAATCCTGTCCGCGTTTAGAGTTGTTCGTTGAAGCTTTAAATTGTCGTGTTGTACGGAATAATTTACCCATGGTTATAATCGTTCAAGGCTCATTGGAAAAAGGAGATTTTGGGATAGTTGTTCGCGAAACTTATCGATCGCGATGGCGCAATTCAACGAGTTAGTTGTAGTAGGCTGAAACTCAGCCACTCAGTGCAATGAATATGTTCGCATTCCTCAGCTGAGCTCAGAAGAGTTTACATGTAAGTTCGGGTAGAAGTGTACAGAAACCAACAATAATTTTTATATTGTCATCATCACCAACACATGTAGTTGATGACCATGTGCATATTCTCCTACACTACTCTTGCATTGAGATGATCATCGCAGTAAATTCATTTTCATGTCAAAGTCCTATACCTTCAGCCACATTCGAGCAGTACTGGGAAGTCGAGTTTTCGCTGTCGCCATAGTAGGCGTCGGGATAGCTCATGCAAAGGGCGA